GGTGAACAATACTGCATTGTGCACTTTCACATTTCTTGGAAACGTCGACCTTGTGTCAAATGCTGTTGCCGTAATGAAATGGATTTTGTAACTGTTTACATGGGGCTTCCTGAGTGCCTACACCGTTCTAAGAGCTTTACAAATATTTAATCATGGAACAACCAGGCTTACAGAGAGAAAGGCAAAGGCAAAGACAAAGGGGAAGGCGCTTGCCCGGGGCCGCACACCAGGCGGTCCGGCCTCTGAGTGTTTGCTGTCAGCACAGATTCAGGACGGACCCGTGGGCTCATCGTCCCAGGGCTGCTCTGAGAGCTGTCCTGCAGGGGCCGAGTCCCAGTGCGTGGACGCACGATGACTGAAGTCAGATGTCCAGCGACAAAGGGCTTCAACACACTTTTTCATCCAAGACTTAATTTTCCCCAAATTCGGTTGTTTTCAAAGTCTGGTTCCTGGACCAGCAACTTCTGGGAACGTGTTAGGAACACAGATTCTGCGGCCTCAAGCCCAGACCTCAGAAACTCTGGGCCGGGGCACAGCCAGCTGGATCCCCCTGCTGGCTCAGGGCTGAGAACCAGGGGTGTGGCTGTTACAGAGCCTTCTTCTTGCTCGGCGAGCGGGGCCTTCTCTCCCTGTGACCCCCAGTGCTACCGAAAACAGTGTGTGTCTTGGATTCAGGGTGGGGACAGACAGAAGGGAGGATCCGGGTGCTGGTTCGGGAGAGTTCCATACAGCAAGCGGGTGTGCTGGTTGATTTAACATCTTACATCTTTAACGCCTTTGACCAGGTTCACTAGTTTCCAAAAGTTAGAAGATCTGTTTCTAGGCCTCTTTTCATTCACTATTTGTTCGACCTCATCGTCCTCATCTATAAAAATGGGAAGAACCTCACCTGCTATATGTACCTCTTAACACTTTGTGGGACTCAAATGAGCAACAAGTGAAAACCTTTGGGGAAACCACAGTGTATATGCCCCATGAAATGCCATGTTACAAGGTTTTCATCAGCAGCATCATTAGAGACCAAGAGAAAATGTTTGGTTTAAATAAGCCAACAAAACTTAACACCAAAATTAAGACAAGGATATGTTATGCCAGGTGGTATAATTTTACACGTAATTTGGTCATCGTATCGGCCAATCCTGGTAGGCGGAACTGGCTTCCAGGGAGTCCAGCTCCAAGGCTGTCCCAAAGAACCTCACCTGAAGTACGGATGCATTTGGAAGAACAGCGTCTCTCTCCTGGTGGCCTCGGCCAAGCTCAGTTTGTCCAGGATGTCCTGCTGGCCCCGGCACTTCACTATCATGTAGCCCTTCTTGAGGCGGTACGTGAGGTTCTGCATCACGTTCAGGACGCATTTCTCGGTGCCCTTGTCCACTAGGTCTGGTTTGGTCAGGATCCCTGTGAGATGATGGAGGAAAGCACTGGAGGTCAGTTGTCCCCTCAAACGTGTTTGACTTCCACTAGGCTATGGGCCTTTTCTTGCGCAAGACCAACCAAGTCTTCCGCAGCCTTGACCGCCCAGTGCCTGGCTGCCCATTCATTGATCCCACCGTCACCCCTCTTCCTTGCACCTGCATTTGCTTATCCACTCACTCGACTCCTTAACTGCCTTGGGTCACTTGTTTAACAAATGTTTCTTGGGTGCCTGCTGGGTGCCGACGCTAAGGCAGCAGCATCAGATCGGACCGGCTCCACCACCACGTTTCCAAGGACCCGTCATCAGGAGGGTCTGGAGTCTCTGGTCAGACTCGCTCCGCCCCCTTCTTGTGGTTCCTCCTCTGAGATTCTCCCGCCTGCCTTCCTGTCTCGCTCTCCCGCCCTCACTGCTCCCCACTCACACTGGATGGAAAGCCGTGCATTCTGAGTGATAGTGTTCTTTGAGTGTCAGATTCCCGCTGCATTTCCTCTTTGTTTCCTGTTAGAAACCTGAAGGTCATCTTCTACTGTCACTGTCATTGTTTTTAATTTGCTGTGAAGTCTGGACTTCTGGTCCACCATTTCCTGAGACATTCCTGGCACCTAAAGGATTGAATTTCTCTCTCTCTTTTGACCTTCCTGTCACCAAAAGGTGTTATTTAAGAGCGGATCTTCACAGTCACCAAGAGGTTTGTGCAAGCACAGGCCTTCATGTCACTGACAGAGTCGAGATGTCTCTGAATCTACTCTCGCACCTGCCGTGGCCAGAGAGGACCTTCCCCTGGGAGGGAGAAAGCAGCCAAGAAGGCCCGTCCCTGGAAGCAGCGGTCACTCGTGGAAGCCTAGGCCACTGGCCTTTATTCTGAGGACAAGTACAAGAGAATAGAACTTGGGACGCTCTGCTAGGACTCGCTGCAGCTGGGGAGAGCACCTTCTCACAGTGAGGCTGGCTGAAAAAGAGGACGCATGCGAATGCACCCCCATCTGCAGCATTTGCTCATAAGCCTCATGTAGGGCCCCGGCTACAGGGAAGGCCACTAACTGCCAAACATTTCTAGACACTTCAATTATAAAAACAAAATCAATCCATTCCTAGATGCTTTACGCAAACATATTGAATTAAGAAAGGAGCACACTGGGTCAAGCACATGCTGTGGGTGTTGAGCAGGTGGCCGTGAACAAGACTGCAAAGTCCCTGATCTCATGAATATCCCCTCCCTTCCAGTGGGAAAGCGCTAGATAAATGAATCCAGTAACATAAAAGAAACAAAGAAAAACATCCGCTGTTGATCCGTGCTATGCAGAGAACTACAGTGACTGCTGGCAGGTGAGTGCAGGCAGGCGTGGATGCTATAGATCCCGGCTGGGTCCCCAGGCGGGCCCCTGGGAAGGCAGCGCTCAGGCTGAGGTCTGACAGGAGGAAGGAGCCGGCCTAGTGAAGATGGAGAAAGACCCTTCCAGGCCCTCGGGAAGAAGGAGCTGGGATGACTGAGCGGGACTGGAGAGGAGGGCGCGGCAGAGAGCAACGGGAACTGTGCTCAGAGAGCCACGCAGGGGCCAGGCCACAGGGGGCTTGTCGTCCAGGCACAGGAGTCTGGGTTTGTGTATGTGAGGAGGGAGCACTAGAGAGTCAGTCGGGGGCAGGGCAACATGACCCGATTTACATGTTTAAGGCCAGCAGAGAGTGCAGTGCACTGGGCAAGGTGCGTGTGGAGAGCCCAGGCAGCAGGTGATGGAGGCTCAGCCTGTGCAAATGAGAAGTGCAGATGGCTGTGGTGTCGGTCTGGAGGCAGAGTCACCAGGACTTCAGATGGGTTAGACATGTGCAAGCAAGCAGAAGGCAGAATCAGGGGTGACTGTCTGATTTGGCTTCAGACCTGGGCAGGCGGGTGTGGCGCTAAGAAAGAGGCCTGAAGCCTGGGAAGGAGGAGAATCTGGGTAGGGTGCAGACCCCAGGGGTTGTGCTTTGGTCACATTAAATTGGAGACACTTAATGCGCTTCCAAGTGGAGATGTCAGGCCTAGGGGAAGGCTAAGGGTTACAGATATAGGTGTGGGTGTCGCGGGCAAATCGATGGGACTCGAAATTGTGGACAGACGCGATTATTTAAAGAGACTGTGTTAACAGAGGGAGAGCTCAGGACCAAGTTCTGGGTTTCCAGTACTTAGAGGTTAGAGAATTGAAAAACAACCAGACCAAGATCGAGACCTCCAGGTGGCCAGGGAAGAGGAGACCTGAGAGAGAATGGGGACCCAGAGGCCAGCAGGCCGTGATGTCCCAGCGAAGGAAGGAAGATGCCAAGAAGGGAGTGGTCGCCATCTTGACTCTGGCTGAGAGGTGGAGGAAGATGAGCACAGAGAAGGCACTGCGCGTTTGTCAGCACGGAGGCCTCTGGTGACCTTGACCAGAGCCTTCTCTGTCCCAAGGTGGGGCCAGGAGCTCAGCCGGAGCTGGCTGTGTGGACAGTGTGCATTTAGCAGTGCATGGATGGGGAACAAGCTTGGTGGGGACCCCACAAATATTCTGACTCTGTTCTTCCCCAAGCTTAATATTCTGTAAGCCACAACTACACCATCCACCAAATTTGTTCTATTTTCACCCTTTGGAAGTACTGCATAGGCATTCATTCCATTTCTGTTTTTAAAAAATGTGCTAAAGTACACATAACTCACATTGACCAGAGAATACCTCAGTGCGTGAGAAGACGCTGCTCCCCCCTTTCTGCACCATCGTGGTCCCCACTTCTCAAGTTTGTTTTGTAAAGCATGGTGAAATACCCGTAACCAAGTTTACAATTGTAGCCATTTCTAAGACTCCAGTTGGGTGGCATTAAGTACAGCCTCACTGCCGTGCCATCGTGACCACCACCCAGCTCCAGAATTTCTTCATCTTGCAAAACCAAAACTCTGTACCCTTTCATTAACTGCCATTCCCCTTCCCCGCTTCTGGCAACCACCATTCTACTTTCTGTCTCTTTGAATCTGTCCAGGTTCCTCATATCAGTGGAATCTACAGGATTTATCTTTCTGGGACTGGCTTATTTCATGTCCTTCCTTTTCAAGGCTGGACAGCACCCCACTGTGTGTGCGCACCGTGGTTCGCTTGTGCACTCCTCCCTTGATGGGCCCTTGGTTTGCTCCCACCTTTTGCTTTCGTGAAGAATGCTGCTGTGCACGTGGGTGGGGATTCCCTTTTCTTTTTAAACCCAGCGCACTTGTCTCTGTCGCTGCACTTGACCTGGAGTGCAGATGGAAAGCCTGCAGGGACACCGTGATACTGTCTGGGACGCACTAAGGTCTGACTGTGTGTCCTCTACGCCTGCAGTTCTTGGTGAATTCATATTAATAGCAGCTGATATTTAGTGAGAGCCTTCGGTTATCGGAGTTTATGCCTAACGAGAGGAACAGACAACGATTAATAAGAAGCGTTACTCAGTTTCTACAGAGATGTCAACATCCAAATCGACCTACTGGGCAGGTGATGTTACCTGCCGCGGCCGTCAGCAGGACATCCCTCATGACTTACGATCGTGAGAAGAGACAGGAATTGCACTTACAAGGACTGGTGACCCCAGACCTGCGTTTTCTCTGTGTGTCCATGTGTCTGAGACGCCTGTAGGGGGCAGGAGCTAAGGGAGCACGCGTGGTCTGGCCTGGAGTAACACTGCACTGAGCCGCGCCCCCCTCGGCTTGTGTCCATCCTTACTGGGAAACTGGGAACTCGTTTGGGAAAATAAAAATGGATAAAGGGTAGGTATGTACTGAGTATCCACTTAGTCAAGGGAAATGACTTGCCAGTTGTCAGGAAGGAAAACGCTATGGGTAGGTGCGATGACTCGTAAAGAAGGGACATTGGGTAATAATATTAAAACTTTAAAAACAGGAGCTGCCGTTTGCCTAAGGGTGTGCGGCCAGTAAGTGGTAGGACATGGCTTCCAACCCAAGCAGTCTGTGTTCTTAAGCCAAGTCCCCTGTAATACCTTCCGGGGTGGCTGTTTAACGAAAGGAATATAAGGGAACCCAGGTCCCCAACAAAAAGTTGTGCTTGAATGTGAGTTCTGCAGACACCTTGTGCTGCAGGGCACGCCTGGACGTGTGCTCACTGAGTATGCTCATCCGGGCTCTATGAAGGGCTTTCCCATCCCCAGGGAGTCATAAGAACTCAACTGTGGGACTGCAGAGCTGATGGGCCAGGCACTTTCTCCCTTGTGGACCACTGTGGACGTTCTCGTCCCCCATCCGGAACGGTTTGAGAATGCAGATGAGGGGCAAGAGGAAGGAGGGCAAAGGACCTCCCAACTGTGGCCACACGTCTCACCCTGGCTGTGACCCCCAGCCCCTGGAGCTCCCGCTGGGAACAGCACTCAGACCCAACACAGGAGTGGGCGTCCCCGGCAGAGCTCCCACCCAGGGCCTTCCATATACACGAGGACTCGCCCCGCCCTTCCCGGCCTCTAGAACTGGGTTCCCTCTTCTTACCTATGGTCCTGTCCCCATCGGGGTCCACCTCCTGGGCCATGCTCAGCGCCTCTGTGGTGGCGATGTCCACGTTACAGGGGACCACCACCAGGTTGATCGTCTCCTGCCTCCGGATGTACTTCCTGATGAGTGCCTTGATCTGATGCCAGGGAATCACAAAGGAAGAGCTCATCTCTGATCACCCAACGACACAGCCACATGTGTGTGACACCCAGACCACGGCCCAGCTGTCCCACTTCTGGGCCCTGGCTTGTCCTCTTCCTCGGGAGTGTGCGCCCACCTGCCCTCCTGGGTCCTCTGTTGACGTCCTGCGTATCCTGCACAGCTCATCACCAGTGTTTCTTCCTTCCCGAAGACCTCCGGACCCCCGAGACCCCCTTCCTCTCCAGATCTCTCCCGTGGTGCTCCTGAGACTGCCTTCGATGAGAGTGGTGTGTGTGTGCTGTGTCCTCCCCAGAAGGACACCTCTGGGGCGTCCCTGTCATGATCCCGGACGTCCCCACGCAGAGCCCAGCACCAGCCCGCGGCAGGTGCTCAGTGCCAGCCCCCGTGACAGCTGACGTCAGTAATGTCTCCACCCTTGTTTATGCGGAAAACCAATGACTTTTTCTGCAGTTTGTTCTCGGGAGGCGTCTAGCTCATTAGAATTAGGGAGATGTCATAAGATTTCTTAGACGTTGCAGGCACAAAGGAGACGTGGGCCAGATACGCCTTTAACTCCCTGCGTGGAGAATGCAAACCAATAACCGTGGAGCAGGCTGGCACCTTGGGGTGTGTTTCCTAATATTTGGTATAACTCACACTTAGTGCTGCCCAGCTGACATCCCGTCTAATGTCAAGTTGTGCACAGAAAATAGTAGGCACAGCCACAAAATAGAAAATTTCCATCACATGAGCACACGCTAGCTTCACACAGACAGTTACATCCTGGTTTTGACCAACTTACACGCTCACCTCCCCACTGGACGCTTCCTCATTATAAGCGCTGCTTTCAAGGGGGAAGAAGGAAGCACGTCCCTACAGTGACCTGTTTGGGGGAGCAGGACACATGGCATTTAACGAGGGGAAAAACTGACAAAACGCCTCGGCTGCAAGAGGCTCGGTAGAGAGAAAGCGGAAGGGAGTGGACCTGCAAGGCGGGCACAGGGTCGAGGTCCAGCCCTGCTCTGGGCATTCAGTTGAGCACCGCCTTTCTCGGCCCCATTCACACCCTCTTCCTCTGGTCCACTGGGACACATTCTCCTTCAGCTCCTCCCATCCGGCACCACTCAGTGCCCCAGGGCTCAGTGCCCTGCTCACCCCAAACCTGGCTAAGCCTCCGGGTCACCCCTCTGAACAGAGGGAAGTTGCTGTCCCCTGATTCTGTGACCATCACCTTCTGGGAGCACCTCATAGATGACAGCTTCCTCCCGGTTTCCTTGTCCTATGACCCTGTGCTTGGCTCAAGAGCCCCCGGCCTCTTTCAGGAATCCCTCATCAGGAGGCAAGGTCTGCTTCAAGGTGAGCCTGTTCTCGTCTCGGTCCATGGTGCTGGCCTTTCTGCCTCAGACCAGAGATCACAGCCTGAGTTCCAACTCACTCACATAGTAATGATTTTTTTAATTCTTCCTAAAATTAGCAGATCTCATGTAACAACCAAAGTTCCGGCACGTTTTGAGTATCAGGATAGCAGTAAGACAGGGCTGACGTTCCCACACGACAACATTCAGTGAGGTGTCAGCTGTCCCCTGAAACACTGAGTCAACTTTGCCTGTTTCCATGACCTGCCAGGCCCTTCTCAGAACCTGAGTGTGGGCCCCCAGTCCTAGAAGGTCCGACCCCAGTCTCCTCCACAGCCGCTCAGAGGGAGGGCTGCGGAGGTGCACCAGAGCACGCGGGGCTGCCGGCAGAGGCCGCAGAAGCCACCCCAACGTGGCACGGCCCATTCCCAAGTTCCAGAAAGGCTCACCTGCCGCCCGATGTCCTGGGGCTGATTTCCCACGGCCACCCTGGCGATGCCGGGAAGATCGATGAGGGTCAGATCTGGAACCTCAGGGGCGGTGACCTCCAGACTAATGAGCTCGTGGCTAATGCCAACTCCACTCCCAGCGACGGCGTCCTGGGCTGCGGAGACCAGAGAGGAGACACCCAGAGTCCAGACGGACCGCCCGGCCCGGCAAAAGCACTTTGCAACTGTGGCCGTTGAGCCCTTCTCCCGTATTCGGGAACAGCCCTGAGGGGCAGGGAAGCAGCGTAAGGCGCAGGCCGGATTTAGTGCCTGATTCTCTACAGACAGAGCTCGGGGCAGGCTAGAGCCAGGGCTGCTCCTTTGTAAACTTTCCCTGCTTCAATCCTCGTTCATCGTCGCTGCTTAAGGTACGACTTTTGTAACCTTTCACTGAGGAGTCACGCACGCACAGGACAGTCCCCACCGTCTAAGCAGGTGCTCGGTGAGTTTCACAGGCGGGACTCACAGGTGTAACCAACACACGGCTCAAGTCACAGAGCACGGGCAGCCCTCCAAGGCGCTCTCTCCCTGTCGGGCATCAGCCTCCAGCAAGGATGACCCCTGGCCTGGGCCCTTTTGCCCACTTTGCACTTTATCCGTGGCTGGGCCGAGTGAATTTGCTGAGAGGCGACCACCTCTGACCTACGAGAACAGCAGTTTCACGTGGTCTCGCCTAATCACAAATGGAATCATGAACCACAGGACCCCTTGGTCTGGCTTCCCGCTCCCCACGAGGCCTGCGTGGTCCCCGTCCTGCTGCTGGTAGCTGAGGTTGCTTCCTTTTCACTGCTGCCTGTTCGTCCACCCAGTGCCATGATCAAGTCAACTGTGGACGGACACTGGGGGGTCTACAGTGGGGCCTATGAACATCCTAGAACCTGACTCTTGGCACACGTGTCGGCTGCCCATGTGCTCAGGAGTGGACTTCTGGGGCGACATGGGGTGTGCACGCCTCCAGCCTTACTGGAAAAGTGTGCCAGTTTTCCAAAGTGGCCACACCAACTCAGACTTCCACCAGCAGGGCAGCGGAGTTCCGAGACGCTATTCTAAAGATGCCTTAGCTGTGGTTTGCTCATGACTCATCTTTCCACGTTCATCCAAGCACACGCCCATGGTGTGTGGGAGCCCACCGCCCTCCGGGCTCTGCCCGCAGAGCTCGTGGGGCTGCAGAGCCCAGGGCTGACTTCAGTGGCGCAGCGGGCCGTGCGGGGCACGCGGCCGCCCAGGACAGGCGCGGCGGGCGGAGCTGGGGGGCAGAGCTTTTATAAACTTGACGCTAGGAAATTTGCCAGTTAGGGCCGCAGGCAGCCTCTGTACTGGGGGTGGGGGTGAATGCTAGAACTGGGGCAGCGTCTCTCCACCTGGGAGGGATCCCCTGGTGAGCCAGCCGAGGCCACACGGTTCCCGGGGAGTTATGCCCAGGGAGTGCCGTGAAAATCCCTGTCTCACGTGCCGAGTTTATGGCTGAGTAGGGCGCAAAGCCCGTCTGCCTGGAACAGAGGCCCTGTCTGCAGGGATTCCTGCGAGCATCAAGGCTAATTTTGCCTGCCTGGCTGAGCCCAGCTTGGGAGCGGGGCAGGGAGAAGCCTCTGGGAAGGACAGGCAGACTCAGGGACCTGAGGGGCAGGGCTGCGGGAGGGTGACCCCCAGGGCTCCTCTAAGCAGGTTTGGAAGCGGAATCCAGGAGCAACGGAGGCTTTTGAGCATTCTGCGCCTGCCCGAGGCTAATCCCCAGGGCTGGTGAGTTTTGTCCAAAGGCCAGGGTTGGCTGTGCTTCTACTAATGACCCTTCGGCTGAGGGGAGGGAGAGGGGGCTACGGGGGCTGGGGCTGGGGCTGGGACAGTGTTGGGGGAAGTCGCCTGGGGGCAGAGCCACTGCCACAGGCAATCAGCCACTCCAGATCAGAGCAGTGCCAGGGTGGCTGGGGCCAGCGGGGACCCTGCGGGGGACACTTCCCAGAGGAAAAGCAGGCAGGTAAGCTGAGACCAAAAGAAAGAGGAAGAATCAGACAGACAACCAGGAGGGACGGCGTGCAGGCAGGGGCGAGGGGAGGGGACCAGCACAGGCTCCTGTGAAGCTGCAGGGGCCCCGAGGAGGATGGCCACGGGCAGAAGGAGCCGCCCCTGCAGCCTCCCTGGGCCCTACCTTTCCGGATTTCCCTCTCCACCTGGGAGGGGTCCTGCAGCTGGAGCTCCGTGTTCCGGTACCTGAGTGTCCCCCTCCACGTGCACTCATGCAGCTGTTTCTTCAGTTGCAGCACCAGCGGACACCTGGTGACGATTCCTGGGAGAGAGTTTCCCAAACATAAAAGAAGCGTTCACAGGTGCCCTCTGCTCTTATCCCCAGGACCTGCCCCGTGTCCCCGCAGGCTTGGTCTGAAATTTCTGTACCCCTCTAGGGCCCAGTCCAGGCCACCACACTTACCCCCAGGCCCTAGAAACGCCTCGGGCGTTGTCCGGGACAGGCGGGATGGCAGCCAGAGGTCTGCCCGACCCTGTCCAGCCCTCCCAGGCCCCTCTCAGGCCGGGGGTGGGGGTAGGCAGGGGGGGGAGCAGGATGTGCACATCGGGGCCCAAGGGTGAGGTTTGTGGGGGCGCCTGGCAGGGAGGGATCAAGTTCCCAGGGAAGCTGGAACTGCCCTGAGCTGCCTGGGGTGGGCTCCTGTGGTGGAGCCCCTAGTACCTGCACACAGCAGGGCTGTCCTATGACCTGGGCACTTGTCCAGGGTCCCCTGCCTGCCCCACGTCTCTGCCGTGGCCTCCAGACTCTCTGCCCTGTGGCTTCTCTCCCCAGAAGGCTGAACCCAGGGCGGAGAGGAGGAGCCGCTGTGCCCTCTCTGAGTTCTCATCCATCAGGAGCCCGGCTGGTGGGGATCTCACGGGACGTCCCGGAGCAGAAGACCAGCTGTCTGTGGTCAAGGGAGCACAGGCCAGGGCCCCTGGCGGCGCGGCTGTTCCTGGGGCTGCGCAGGGTCTGGGCCGTCCCCAGCACCCCCACACCCTCCTGTGTGCCCGGGAGGCCGAACCCTGGCCCCTGTTTCTGGTTGGGTGTGGGGGATGGGCACTGCTGGCAGGAGATGGGAGTGAGGAAGGGAACAGGCTGGCGGAACCTCGACCCTCTTCCCGGCTGCCACCTCTTTCTTCTTTTTTTCCCTGTATAATTATTTGATTACATCAGAAATGCAAAACAGCTTTTGAACTCTACACACAGTTAATTTTTTTTAAAAGAAAACTTTGGGTCTTATCACTCTGTGATCTAAACTTCTTCAGAAAGACTTCGTGTGCGAGAAACTCACAAATTCATGACATCAGACAAGAAATACACTTACACAGACCACTAGAAGGAAACTAACACAGGCCCAGCGATGCCTACTGACACGGGGAGAGGACCCAGGTACTAAGGGCTGCGTGGGACACCCAGGCCCCCTCCCCGTCCACTGCAGACCCCGCCGTGCAGGGCCTGTGGGAGCCACCCTCCGGGGGTCCCTCCCAGAGACCAGCCCGTGAAACCCCTGGTCCCAAGGAAGCTTTGTGGCTTGCAGGCGGCCGGCCTCTGGCTGCAGAGCGAGGCTGGCACAACGGTGCTTACCGCTGCCTCGGGGAAGGGCGACCCCCGACAGCGCCTCCAGCACGGAGCTCTTGCCCGAGCTCTGGTCCCCGATGACGGCGATGGCGGGCAGGGCCAGGTCCTGCTCCACGCCCAGGGCCCGCAGGGAGTCAACAAGGTCGATGCAGGGCCGAACCTTCTCCTCGTACGGGCTGAACAGGCTGTTTTCGGGCCCCTGGGGGAGGCAGAACAGACTTCACAGTCGTGGCCTCTGACAGGGCTCCCACCACCGTTGGGAATCTCTGGCCGAACTGATGCAGCTACAGGTGATGGGTTACAGACAGGAGGGTGAGGGGTGGACGGAGACGTGCCCGGGGGAGGGCCCGGTGCTCTGTTCCTGTGGAGACTCGGCTTCTGCTGCTGCGGGGGGGCGTTTGGCTGGGGCTGGAGGACGAGGTGCCCGACTGAGCAGGGAGGAGTTGCCGAGAGGTGGTGCTCCCTGCCGGAGGGAGGAGAGTCGGGGGACCCGGGAC